GGTAGCATGCCTAATTCTTGGGGCCTGATAGCATTTGCTGCCCTCTGGAATAGACCACAGACCAGTGGTAAAGGACACACTTTGTCTTTCTAAGAGAATATTCTGATCATTTCCAAAAATTAAGAAAAAAGGAGAGAAGTAAAAACTCTGTGGCAGAAATAGAGGAGGAGCCAACCACTGATGGCAATGTGAACATCTCCTTACCAGGATGCTACTAACTGAAGCAATGTTAAATAGTATTAGTGGGTAGAATCATTAAAAGCTTGTCCAAATGCTCTTTCAAGATCAGAGACTTTAGCAGAGTTGGAAAAGCACTTTTAAGTACTAATTGTATGTTTGGTGTAGGGTTTTTACAGGCAGTATGTGCCTGCCATGCCCCGAGGGCATCCTGTGTTGGTCCAGCCCATGACTACACTGCCCATGGAGTGCTGGAGCCCCTGGAGACTGGCTGGGAGCATGGACAGGAGCTTCTCCTCTTCCTTCCCCCTGTGCTTTTGAACACAGAGGCACGTGGAGATCACAGGGGCTGGGATAGAGATGGGGCAGCACTGTAGGAATCTGTCCAGGAAAGCAGTAACTGCCACGCTCAGAGAACAGCCACGTTTTTCATTTTGTGCTGCTCATCTGCACAACACCACCGAGCTGGTTTTGTAAGGAAACATTTCACAGGAGCCCAACAGTGAAAAAGGGATCCTATACTGACTGTAAATACAGTTTGGGCAGTGAAGAAATGTGTTTGCATGCCAATTACAGCCCCTCTGTATCTCCAGCGTGGTAAGAAGTCCAGAGAGAGAGAGGTCTCAAGCCCTAATTCTAGTTTTTCAGCAATTCATCTGTGTATTACACACAAATGTACATGGAATTTTTCCTTAAACCAGCTACTTTTGATGGCTATTTCGTGGTATCAACATTTTCTTTCTTGAAACTGCTTGTATAGGAATAATAATTAGCCAACAGTACCTCTGGACCTGTTAATTTTGAGTGCCTCTCTTGCCAGTGCCAGAAGTTTTAGTCCCACTGAAAAAAGGAGAAGGGTTCTTAACTTGAAAATTGCTTTTTCTCTCTGTATTTGCTCTTTCCTTGCTCAACTTTGTCTTATTCCAAAGTCTCGGAATCAAGAGAAAATAACCTTTTAAACTGTGATGACAGGCCATGACCTAAAGTGAATTAACCTGGTGTAATGGAGGAATGATTGACCACCATGGTGTGAACAGCTGAGGGACAGACAAGGAAATAAATAAAAATATAAAATTTGGATTTTGGAGATGAGATCTTTATTATTCATCTGCTTGATTTAATTTTTGTAAGTCATATTACTTTATATAGCTGAGGATGGCAGCTATGTGATCATTGTGCTGGTGATTAAGGTTTAAAAAATAAAGAAGATGCATAATTATTTTTATAGTTATAAAAATATACTTATGTATTCTAAATGTCCCAAGTGAGTGGTAATGTGCTTAGGGTCCTACCCACTACCCATAAATAACATTTATGTCTGTCTCACACTGTCAGAGGCCAGGGGAGAGGAGGATGGCTGGTGCAGTCTGCCCTGCTGTCTGGTGGGTGCTCTGCCCACAGCAGCACCTACAGAGAAGCAGGGAGATGGAAGCTCTGTGTGCTCTGTGGGTCTGTCAGCCTGGCTTAAGAGCAGAATGAGAGCCCAAATAATTCAGTTTCTAAATACTGGTCCCATGATGTTCCCCATTCAGTGTCTGGCTTGAGGTTTTCTTTACTTAGCTGAGTGTTCAGCACTCTCCCATACTGGCCATTTATCTGCCTCATCTTCTGGCTCTGGGAGACAGTTTCTTTCCCCCATGCATATGGCAGGAATTCAATATGCATACGACACCAGTCTGATCATATCATTTCTCTTGCAGTAGTCCAACAGGCTGGGAAAAGGGCCAAGGAAATTTAAAAGGGAAAAACAGAAAACAAGACAAACGAAAAGGCCAAAAACCATTTAGGAATTCCTGATGGCAAAGCAAGCAGCAGTGCTGGTGGCACAGCTGGCACACAGCAGATAACAAGACAGCAGCAGTGGCCAGGCCCTCAGCAGCCAGCACTTGTGTGTGGCAGCAGGCACCCTGCCTGCAGCCAGGGGAGTGGGCTCTGCTGCTCTCATCCCCACCGTGCTGAAGGAAAATGCATGGACTTCATCCCTGCTCCCAGCACTGTCCCCCTGCCTGGGGACCATGGGCAGCACGGATTTTTAGGCACAGGGAGCAGGAGCTGCCTGCCTGGCACACTCCCTGCTCCTTGGGCTCCGCTCCACTCTGGAATGTGTCACTTGGTAGACCTTGCAAGTTCAGGAGCTCTTTAATTTTGACATGGTGTTAAGTTTATTACAACCTGGTGAAATGAGTCACTACCAAATCCATAGCTCTGCATTTCTCCTTTCTCACAGGTTTTCATGAGCGGAGTGAAAAGTTTAACCTTTCAAATAACAGCCTTTTTAACAAAGGTGCAGTGCTAGAGCAATACAATATATCCACAGTATGAAAGGACACGGTTCTGGGGTAACCATTGCCTTTACCTCGCAGCAACAAATCACAAGACCTTTAAATAAAAGCCCAATTTATTAAAAGTACTGTTGTGCTAGGGGGCCAGCATGCCAAGGTAATATAAAAAAAGCTAGGGCTTGCTACTGCAGAAATACTGAGACCTCTTGAAATCTGAGTATCCACAAACACTGATTTAAAAGCGAATGGGAGAAGTTTAACCCTTTGTAGAACCTGCACAGACATTTTCTATCTTAAATCTCGATAAGGAATATCTAATGTCCTCAAAGAGGACATTAGATAAAGTCTCCAGACTGGGATTTATGTATTTATTTTTAAGAATCAAATTGTCTAAATAAGTTTGGTTGCAGATTTGATCCTTTTAAGACTTCCAGCAGGACTACTGACTATTTTTCAAGTCACCTGAAAAGTCACTATTTGTACCAAGATATTTATTCCTTTCTCCCAGTTTGTGAGGGAAGTATTTTATTCTGATATAGACACGTGTTTAAGTTCCATTATCTCCTGCCCTTAGATTTAAAACTGTAGTCAAAAGGTGAATATTCTTAGTTTTTCAGTTCAGTTACACTAATTTTTTGCAATCTTATCCAGTAAGTTCCAAGATGCTTGTTACATATTGACAACAAGCCTCAGTTTGATTGGATCTTTCCATTTCAATGGCTTTTTTGGATCATGCCCTTGCAATGCAGGGTCTGTGGATTATTATTTCTGCATATAACCTGCTTTGGTGAAGTATGATTATAACATTATTATGAGTGCTTTACTGAGGATAGAGACATAATAAAATGAATGTGGTTTCTTAAATAAAATATCTGTCCTCTTGCAATATGAATCTGAGGGCACATCAGCACATACAACTATTCACATATTAAGGCTGGAAAAACTCCTGAGTTACAGCTGTGGAAATGTAGGATTTGGGGTTTCAGTGAAATCTGCTAATCTCCAGATGAAAGGATCTGACTTTTTTTCCAGGTGGCTGTTAGTTCATCTCCATTAGATAAGCACCATATAGTAAATGGTCCTGATCAAGGACTCACCTGCTACCTTGGAATCACACTACTGCAATCAACTCTAATCTTAACTCTTTAATTCTAATTTAAAACTAGGGGCTTATTTATCATCTGGCTATAACTGGAGAAATTGCTTGTCCAGATCGGAGGTAAACACTCCCATTCCTTCCTAAAGGCTTTTTGTGCTGAAGCTTCTGACATCCAAGGAGGCTAAGGCTGATATTGAGCGTTTTATTTTCAGGCTACCTGGAAGGAGAAAAACCAGAGAGAAATGTGCAGTACTACTGCTAAAAAGTGTCCTTTTAAAAATTATGGCCTTCCTGCCAAAGTGTGGGCAAACTGTTTAGTAAGAATAACTATTTTGTGGGGTTTTTCTCATTAAAGCTATGTAGATAGCATCAGACAGGTATGTCTGTAACTAAACTTACTTATGGTTTTTAAAAATTTAATTTAATTTGCATACAGAGTCAGTAGAAATTTCAGGGTCTCAAATACTTTCTCTCCCTCATGCTTTGGAGAGTCCTGCATTGTGAATGGTGAGATTATAGACTGAAAATTTGATTCGAGATTGATATGTTTACATACATTCTGACACACGTTTTTTCAGACCAGTTAAGAGTTTCAGACCGGGGAGTAAGTGATCCAAACGAACAAAACCCATAGAATCATCATGACCCAAATCAGGCAAACAAGCCAGGTGAAGGCAACTAATAAGGAAATGAGAGGACAAAGGATGGTTAATCTACAAAACACACCTTTCTGTTTGTCTCACAGAGCTTAGAAGTCTCCACATTAGGACAAGACAGAAAGGAAAGAAACTGGAGGTGTGGACATCCCCGACAGGAGGCGAAGGGAAAGCAGTGGCACGGAAGAGGCAGGGGTGTTTGGGACAGCCTGGGAGATGCTGAAAGCCGGGGGAGAAGCCTCAGACTGTGGTTTCTTATGCAGAACAAAAGAACAACAGCAACACTTAGTGACAGGATAGGGAAGGACAGTTAAGGGCTGGAATAAAAACAAGTCTCGATGCCACTCTGAAGAAAAATAAGTAGGGGATTCAGAGGGAAAGCTGTGGTCTCCATAAGCTTTTGTACTTGTTACGTTGGAGACAGCAGTCATACATTTCACGTGACATGAAGCTTCTCGGGAGATGAATAGAATGAGAAACTGAATGCTGGATAAATTAATATAGCTATTGATTATTTTTTTTTCCTTCAGAAGGAACAAGCGGCTGGAGTTAGAACAGTACTGCAGCCCCAGAAGCACGCAGTCCGAACCCCAGCGTGTGCGGCTGTGCTAAACGGTGCTGCTGTGGCGGGATAAAGGCAGGATGGACACATCTCTTTCAGGATTACGGCTAGCTGTGCACCCGGCCCTTAGTGCGCTGTGAGGGCAGGGCTGTGCACACAGTGTCGGCTGCTCTGCCGCGGGCGGTGCAGGCCTGCCCGGCGGCCCCCCCCGCCCCGGGCCTTACCGGCGAAGCCCGGCGGGCAGCGGCAGACGTAGCCCTCGGCCCGGTCGTAGCGGAAGGGCGGCGGCAGCCCCGGGACCAGCCCGTAGAGGCCGGCCCAGGAGCGCTCCACGCAGTGGCCGCCGGAGAGGCAGGGGCTGCTGCGGCACTCGGCGATGTCCTCCTCGCAGCGGGAGCCCGCGTAGCCTGCGGAGACACGGCCGCAAGTCAGGCCGGGGACAGCGGCCCCGAGCCCTCCCTGCAGCCCGGCCTTCAGCGCCGCCGGGGATGGGGCACCGCAGCCTCTCTGGGCAGCCTGGGCCAGCGCCTCACCGCCCTCACTGTAAGGAATTTTGGCCTAATATCTGATTTAAACTTACTCTCTGTTTGGAGCCATGTCCCCTTGTCGTGTCACCACATTCCCTCTCCACAGTCCTTGTATGTATTTCTACTTCCTTTTAGGAACAGGAAGGCTAAATGGTCTTTAAGGTCCCTTGCAACCCAAACTGTTCTACAATTCTGTCATTCCATGTGCTGCTCTTTGCTTCCAGAGCCCAGAATATACCCTGTGAATAGTAGCTGCACATGGCTTCAGTTTTCCTCAGCTCCTCGAAGCTGCGAGTGCTCGCTCACAGCTCCCTGCCAGGGCTTGGCAGCAGGACATTGCTGTGGTTACTCCACATCAGTGAGCGGAGCTGTGCCATAAAGCATTTGTTTGGGACTTATTTAGGCAGTAACGTGGAGATTTGTGTGGGTAACAATCACTGCATTGTGGTGTAATACACTCTCAGGTTGTGGGAAGGCAGAAGAGGGCAGAGAGTATAAATAATTTTGGTGGTTTTAAAGTGTTTCATCTGGAGGCTTAAGTGCTACAATGATCCCTGAATTATGGAAAATGTGAAGGGTTCTGCCTAATTTTTCCTTATCTGTTGCACCAAGGCTTGTGTAGTGCAACAACAGTGAGGCATTTAGGGCTGACAGTGCTGTCTGTGCTCCTGCATCCTCAGTAAGCTCATAAACTTCCTCAGACATAAACTCCTTAGAGAGGCTTCTTGTAGTCTGTGTGCTGATAGGGTTGTGTGGTCTCTCAAGAGCACAGGGTCTGTGTCCCCACTGTGATGTGGAGCCTGTTTGCCTAAAGCTGGTAGAGGATGCAGCCTGTGGGTTTCACTGCCCACTGCCAGACAGAAGTTTTTAGACTGGTTTAAAGGTTGTGTTAATGAAGACTAAAAACAGTGCCAGCTGCAGCAGTAATGCATGTGTCACATGGTTTGAAGGATTATGTCACTGGGAGATGGCTCCCAGCTTTGACTTATCTCCTGTCTTGGCACCATAATGCTGGTGCCTTTTGTTTTGCCCACTTCTACTCTTCAGGAGAATAAATTCTTAGCTGGAAAAGTAAGCAAATTACCCAAAGGGCTCTGCCTTATGATGAGTGAAGCCCATGTAAACAACGTTTAAGGTTATGGAGCTTCAACCTTTTATTGTATCAGAAAAAAAAAAAAAAAAAAAGAGTCTCTATTACTACTCAAGGAACATGTATAGGAGAACTTGGATCTTACCTGGCCAACAGTGGCACGTGTAATTGTCAGCATGGTCCTCACAAGTGGCGTTGTTGTAGCATGGTTGTGACCAGCACAAAGGAATGAGGGTCTCGCAGTGCGAGCCCATAAATCCAGTCCCGGTGCAGTTGCAGCTGTACCTGCAACACAGAATGCAATGTTCACTCAGGCTGGAAGTCAAGAGATCTGGGCTTTGTTCCCAAACATGCACAGGCTTCTTGTGTAGCCTTGGCTCGCAGCTTACAGGGTCGAGTCCAGCTTGAGACCACCATCTGGTGCTTTAGGAGAAACCGCAGAAATTGGGAACCAACAATGAGCTTTTCCCTGAAGTATGTGGTTTTGTCTGGGGAAAAAGAACTGCTTGTGGGTTGGTTTTGACACAACCCTAAGAAGGATTGATCCTTCTTTTTTCTTCTTCTTTTTTTAATTTTTGGGAGAAAAAAAAAAAAGTTTGTGGCATTTCCAATGCTTTTTTTAAAGAAAATTTGTTTTGTTGGATTAACATTATTCACAAAATGAAAAGGGAGGAGGCAGTATCCCTTGCTCTTGGACTGGTAGAAATTGCATTGGCAGAAAAATAAAGAATTTTATTTTTCCTCAACTAATGATTTTTTTTTTTCCTGCAAACCAGCCTTTTATTGTTAGGTTAGAACAAAAATGTCAATTGCTTGCTTTGTCCCAATAACAACAGTAATACAGCTCCCTTTTGATAGCAGTGCAACTACAACATAAGTAAACAAACTAGTGTACATATAGAAATTACCAATGTGCAGATATCACTGATGTCTGGGAAGTTTTGTTTGCTTTTTTTTCCTGGAGAGCTGAGTGCTATAAAAAGCAGCACACATGTTATTTGGTCATCAAGTATAAAGTTAGCATGTACATGTTCTATGAAAATACAGGCTTTTGCAAGATACAAGTTAATTGTGCAGGCTTGTATGATCTTGACTTTAAAAATTTATAGGAAACAAAAATTTATTCTTCTATTTTCTTTTACATTAAAGTGATAACACCATTATTGTACAATTGCATTCATAGGACATCTTGCTGAGCAAGATATAAGTATACTTATTTGATAATTTCTGTGCTTAATATCCAAGTCTTAGACTTGGAGTAAATACATGAAGAGAAAGTGAAATTGTTGAACACAAAGCAACATCAGAGAACAACTGGCTCCTGCAGTCTAATAGAACAAAAAGTGTAAACTTTTTACTACACTGTTTAAGTGTGTGCATAAGCAGAAACTTCTGGCCAGCCAGTTTATTACTGGTGTATGGATTATTCCTAAATCAAAACCAGAGATGACTCAGACCAGGTGGCATTTGAATTTCAGATATAAAAAGTAATGAGGAAGATGTGAATCAGAAAACTAATTTTCATTCTGAGGTATGTTCTCAAACCTGAAGTCTCCTTCTTCTGCTGAGTTTTCCACACATTTCTCCCAAGCACCATCAGTTTGGAGCTGCTTAGCTTTGGTGAAAGCTTATTTTTCTGCCTGTGCCCCAGCTACTTCTCCTTGGTTCAGAATCATGGAGCAGGGAGGAATATCCAGAACTCACTGCTTAATGTAACTTACTGCAGCCCCACCTGTGTGCCTTTCTCTTGGGTATCTTTTAGCATTTGACATTGCTGTTGACCTTCAGGGATTCTGGATGGTGCCCTGCTTGTGAGCAGGCTACAGCTGAGCAGGCAGATGGCTTTTTATAGTAAGAGTGATAATTTAGATACTCTATCTAGCATATTTTTTTGACTTCTTGTTTGATGTTCTCACAATTTGCAGAAAGCAATACATGTAGGAATTCTTTCCTATGGAATCTCCTATGGACATTAGAGCTCCTGGGAATATTTCCTATGGAAAAAAGACATGGCTCATGCAGGGTGTCCTCTATGCCTAGGCACACTAGGTTTTGTAGTCCATCTGAGTCTGTAAAGTGTTGAGTTTAAATGTTTACTTATGTGAAAATGGGGGTTTTTTTAAGAGATCAGCTTGTACTTCATTGTATTCATGAAACATCACTGGAAGGTCAGTCTGAAATTTGCAAGAGAATTTGGTTTGATGTTTGTATTTACAGCTTTTTGTGCTAAATCCATTGCCTTGTACACATTTCTGTGAGAGCTGGTGACAGACACCAAAGCCTCAGCTGTACTGTAGATTAGTCAGAAAAGGAAAACTCCTGCTGAAATGCCACAATTCTTAATATATCCCCAAAAATACATAAAGAAAGGAAATTGCTGGACACCTTTCTGTTTTGAATTGCTTTGTTGTCCATTCCTTTCCATCACGTAACAAATACCGAAAGAGCTCCAATTGTTCTCCAGATACCCTGCAGTATTACAAGCCAATTAAAATTGATCTTGCATTGTACCTCAGATTTAAAAGCCAGGAGAAAAATGAGCAGGATTAAGTCTGGCCTGAATAAGCATCCCAGTTGCTCACCTCACACAGGTATCCTCAAAAGGCTTCCAGGTTACTGCACAGGTCTGAGCGAGTCATGTCCAAGGTGACCCCCTCTCGCTGCTGCCATGCTTTAGCTACACTGGGAAATAATAAATTGCTTTGTCCTGCTCAGAGCCATTTAACACTGCAGAAAAGAAGCTCCACAAGGCTGGTGCCATGTCACCACACTGCAGAAAAACTCATTCCCAGAATATGATCTCTTATCCCCTCACTCAAGGCAAGCATGCCTTTTGCTGACATGACTTCTGGGCTGATTTTTCGGGCGCCAAAGTCTTCAAAACTGCTTCATAAAAACTAGAAAATACACAATAAAGGACAAATCTTGTACTGGCAAGAGGAGCACCTGCATGAATACACTGGGGAACTTTCAGGCTGAGCTTATATACATATGTGTGTTCAGTTTGGGAAGCTCATGCTGAGCCAGAAAATCCAGTATTGATGAGTGAATGCCAGAGCTCTGCTTGGACCTCTGTGTTGGGCTAGTAACAGTAGGTGGAGAATCTCACTTTTCCATTGCCTTGTATGCTCCTTTTTTTAATTACTATTGTTACTTTTTTGCCCATGGGCTGCAAGTTGTTTTGAACAATTATCTGTTGAACCTGTAAAGTTTCTGACACATTTCCTGATGATATCTATTACTATGGTTACAATTATTACAGTTTTCTCTGCCTCTCTTCTAATCTTTCTGTCTGTCAGTGTGGGCAGCTGCTGTCAGCAAATTCAGTTTTATAGTGTCTCACATATTTCTTGGAAACTAAAGTTTGGTAAGCATTAGAAACAGAATTGATATCTAAATGACAGTACTAACAGCCAGGAAAACAGCGCGTTGTAAATATTTAAAGTACAAATGCGAAAAATACATTTCTCGGTCAACCTTTGCCATAAATGTTTTGTTGTCCTATTGGCTCTGACACCAGACTGGCATTCTTTAATCATTTTCAAATTAAAACTGAAATTAGTGCAGGACCAGATACCTGGTAATGGTGAGGTTACACCATACCCCACTAGAATGTGGAAGGAGATGAGCTAGCAGGCCAGGCAGGCTCCCGTGGCGTTCCCATCTGCAGAGGCACCCCAGGAGCAGCTGGCTGAGCCTGCCCAGGCTGGCACACCTACCCATTGGCCCCATCCATGCAGGGTGCCCCGTGCAGGCAGGGCTGGCTGGAGCACTCGTCGATGTCGGTGCCGCAGCGGTCCCCGAGGAAGCCCCGCGCGCACGAGCAGGAGAAGCTCCCCAGGGAATCGTGGCAGGTCCCCCCGTTCAGGCATGGCTGGGACAAGCACTCATCGATTTCCACCTCACAGTTCGTACCTTCGAAAGCAGAGAAAATAAACCCCAGGCTTAGGAGATAGCTTTGGAAATCTCAGCAAAAACTGCCTGAAATACAATAGTCACATAATATTTTTTTCTTTATGCAGTTGCTTGGTTTTTAAAGGCATTTCCTCCTCAATGTGCTTTGCACAACTAGTTTTTTCAAGGCTCGGCAGAATTTACAAAAGAACAAGCCAGTTGTTTTCACAAGAATAGGTAAAATAACCTTTTCTGTTGAACATGGAGACAGGACAAACTAATTTTCAGTTTATTCAAACAATGCTACTATCCTGTTTACGTAATACAGAAGCGACCAGCAGTTTATTGATCTCATAAGAGTCCATTTAAAGTTGACCTTTAAATGGAGAATTCACAATTTTTTTAATTCATTGGGAAGTGTCTTGTTTAGCAGTGGATTATTGCTTAATTTCTTTTAAGGCTTACCAATATGCAAGTAAATGGGTCTGTGGTGCCATGTTTGCAGCAGGTCAGAATCTTGGAGCTGCTCTTCAGAGATAATTGCTGGAAATAAATCAGTTCTAGCATGACTTCACAGCTATTTGTGATAGTTAGCAGGTTAAATATACACTCCTTTTTCTTATCTCTAGTACAGACCAGGAGACACTAAGAAGATTTAATAACCAATGCCTTGCAGCTTTGATTATTTCAGGGTTTTGTATTCTTATGCACTTACTTAGTGTTTTGGAGCAATAGAGCAATATTTTCAAATAATTTTCACCTGCCAAGTCAGGTTTTTTTAGCAGCTACAGTATCAGCCACAAAACAGATGCAAAGTGGTAAATTATAATGAAAAATCTGCTTTGAAGTGAATTTCCTTATTTTTTATTTGGCTTGTCGAAGTAGCTGCAGTATTGAAAACTTTACAGGAGAACTTCCTACTTGAAAAAAACCTGCAGCCCTGAGAATGGGTTCTTTTTTTTTTTCTTTTTTTGTAAAAGTGAAGTTTTCAGTAGAAGATGATAGGGTAGACTTTCAACAGAGGGAACAGGCATGTTTGATGATGGGTATCACTCTTGCAATTTATTTAGGAGCTTATCTCTAATTCTTTATTTATGCTCCTTTTGTCAGTTCAGTACTGCTGTGAAATTTGTACATTATAACTTTGAGCATCTTTCTTAAAACACAGACACTGATAATATTTAGCACTGTCACTTCATTAATAATTTATTTTGATGCTTGTGAGCATCTTTGTTTTAAAAGAATAAGTCTGTACTATGGATAAGTACCAGGAAATATCTTAACATGCCAAACCAAAAATTGCAGATGTTGCCTCATAACTATTTTTCATTGTCTTTAAGCATTAAAGTGCAAGTTCCTATTTTCAGCAGTTGACAAATAGTTCCTTGAGACCACATAGTGGATGGGGAAGCTGCCAGTGGCCTGCCCCCAGTTCAAGGTTCACTGCTCAGCTAACCACTACTTTCAGTGGGAGCCTGCCACGAGAGCCCGGTACAGGAACGCTCTCTTACGGCTTTATGGTAATGTACATTACAGCCAGATATAGTCAGCAGTCCCTCTGTGGTCATTGCCCTGTGAATTCACTGTAATTATAAACAATGTGTTTGCAGAAGTGTGTCTAGTGACCGTAAATCTGCCAGAGCTTGTTAACAGCTTACTGCGAACACTAAAAATCATGTGACAAAACAAGCCCTGTTCAACTGATCCTCAGCTCAGCCAAATTTAAAACTACAGGCCTGAGAACAGCCTGACAATTAACATGAGAACATAGCGTTGTTGTTTTGGTTCATGTCTTTAATCTATCAAGCCCAGTAACCTGCCTTCGGCAATGTTGCCTCAGAAGAAAACTTCTCCCTGTATAATGCATCCAGCCAATGCGATCTACCATGCAGACAGGGGGAATCCCTTCCTAGCCTCCACTGAGTCTGCTGTCAGGCTTTCTTAGATGTGTAGAAGAGAGATGAAAAGATTAGATCTGCATTTTCACCTCAGTCTAACATTCTGTCATAAATATGCTGTATGCCAAATATCATATGCCAGGCAGGAAGGGGAGCGCCAAGGAGCCCCGCCGCAGTTATTGCACAGGGCTGCACCGCCACGAGCTGAGGCACCCTGGGTGTCCTGGAGCAGGCTGAGCATCCCTGCATGTACCAAACCACACAAATGGTTTGAATTGAAATGCTGAGAAGGTGGGGAGAAGTCACATTTGTAACTTTTGCAGTTTCTCTGAAGAACCAGGGTTGTTTCTTATACTGCTTGCTTCTCCACTGAGTCCTACTGTGCGCTTCTTTCTACAGCCCCAGTCAATAAAAAGTAAACACCAAGTGAGGATGAAGGACACACAGCCAATGTTCTTAAACTTGCATGCCTACAGATAGCATGTAAAATCACTTTCTGCTCAAAGCTACTAGGGTTTTGCAGGCTCAGTATACTCCTATGAGGACCTGTACATTCTAAGTATGGCTGGAAAGTGGTAACCAGGTCACCGTTTCTGCTCTCCTGCACTAAAATGCTGTACTCAGGCCCAGCAGGTCTAGAGGGCTTTCCCCAAATTCCTAATTCTGTATAAAGTAATCTTGTGTGCCATTATTTGGATGGAGATTGTCACATGGCTAATTTATAGGCATCAGCCTTGAAGCTACAGGAGGAGAGTTACATCAAAAATTATAGGGAAAAGTTGTGTTTTTTTGATCAAGGCTTGTCCCTTTTAAGCTTGGGCATCTCATCAGAGCTGAATACCTAGGGTGGATAGGACACAAGGTGGGGAGTGCTGGTTTGAAACTGGAAAGCTGGGGAAGGAAACAGGCTTTGCACTGAGGGCAATTGCTGTTGGATGTACTGTGTGGTTTGCTATTACATCCACAACGACAGGGACATGAGCTTGTTGGGAAGTGAGATCTCTATTTGAGGTTTTCCGTCCCATGGTAGAGTTGCTGTGCCTCTGCTTGCCTTTAAGTGCCTAAGACTTATTTATGATGCATCTATTCTTAATATTTGCATAGCACATACATTATTGATGAGAATACTGAATGAAAGCTTGGAGATCTATCAGGAGTAATTTCCTCAAATTCTACGGACGTCATCACAGCGATGGTTACCTCATCGTAAAAGGTATTGCACAATGAGCAAATCCAGCTTCCTGCACCTATTTTGTCTGCCACTGAAACACTTTCACTTGCTGTCTTAGGCTGAGAATGGGTTTTGGAACTGCCATGCACTCCTGAGAGTTCACACTGGAATGTTCACTGGCAATAGAGGACTGGCTTCAGGAAGGTAATTAATGCATGTAGCTGTGGGTAATAACAGGCTCTTACACCGTGCTCTGTTGGGGTGAATTAAAAGCAAGTGCAATTAGTCCAATGGAGGAGAAAATGCAATTGATTAGGGTAGCCAGCAAAACTTCAACAAACCAATTGAACTTCATTATTTAACAGCTGTGTGACACATGTCTTGTAAATAATTTCACACATGCAGAAGATTTTCATAGAAACTGCAGATTTCATGCTAAATTTTCCAGTCTTTGGCTCTTGGTGTATTCTAACCTCTTCCATTTGTGTAAGAATTACGTGTGACATTTCTCAGCTATTTTAAGTGCTGCAGCATACCAATCACACAAAATAGCAGTCATAGTCCATGAAACAAGTAGCAACAGCAGCCAGTAACTCATGCATTTGGTTAACATTGCAGCTATAGATTTAGTGTACCTTCTTTACCTGCATATCAAGAGATATAACCTGTTTTTACATCTTAGGGAAATGAGATGAGGCTGGATGACTTCCCACAGTAATTCATGGTGTCAGGCCAGGATAATAATGGTTGGCAAGATCCCCTGACGAGGTAAATGAGGGGTTTTATTACCACTGGGGACACCTCGAGGCTTTCATCCTGTAATCCTTCTGGCTTGTGCATTTAGCACAACTCAGCAAGGTGCAAAATAACAACAAAAAAGAATGCTTCTGATAAATCATTTTGTTAAGTACATTTTTAAAGCTGATGTTTTACTGCTGGAGGAATGGTCTGCTACTCCTCTGTAGAATTGCTATGGTTAGTCTCTTTGCTGATGGAAGCAGTGTCAGAGCTTATGTCAAAACACTGCAGCCCATTCTGCTGTGTATTTTAGACCTCTTCTCCTTCCTCGGTCCTCTCCTCATTTCTTAACTCTGCTTGTGCAAAGTGTGTAGCTTTGGTGACTTTTTTTTATTTTTTGGTGAGAGAAAAGAGCATCAGCTCTGGAAACAGCAGAATTTCATGATGAAAGTAGAGTGTCTTCCAGCAGAGTGAGTTTCCATCAGGAATTTGTGTTGACCTAAATTTTTATTTCTTTTTGTTTGTGCTTTACTATTTCATTATGTTTTCTTTCCCTTTGTCTCTAAGGTGTATATTCCAACTCTTTCAAACCAAGTTTCTGGGCTGGACCCCACTAACAGCCAGTTAAACAAATACAGTTTCCTGAATACAACAGGAGGTCTGGGCTGAGTGTGATCATTGCAGAGTAACCATGCTGGTTGTTAATAGGTTTTTCCTTCCTTCTGCTCTTTGGCTTTCCCTCAGTTGTGTAGTTTTCTCCTCAGCTGGCCCGGGCTCCGACACCCCCTGGCAGCAGCGGGGTGGCAGGAAGGTAACAAGCTTCCTTCAAATAACATTCTCTGTGCTCATAAGGGATATTAACCAAGGGCTGCCTTCCAACAAGTGCTGTGTTAGACACAGGAAAGCTGCTTTTTACCTCTGACTTCCCCTCCTGCATGGGGATTTGGGAATGGAGCTGTAAACCACATCTCTTATTTCTTATTCATTTGAATCACTTGAAGCAATAGCTGTTTTTTCTCCCCTTTTTGTTGTATGACTGTTTCTTTTCCTTTGCTTACCTGACTGGCAATCTATCACTAAAATGCCTCCCCTTTTCTCCTTTTAATGATTCAGTGTGCTACCTTTCACAGTCCTACCCCTGAATACAGCTTTGAAATTTGAAGGGAGCTGTCTTCCAACAAGAATTATATACTTTCCAGTAGAGGAAGTAGGGGAGAAAAATCACACCTGTACCTTAAAAATGGAGCTACATAAAATGGGATTATCAAAAAATGGGCAGTTTGGGAACATAACACTTGTCCACGTAACATATATAATGTTCTAGTTGCACATGAGTCCTTTGTTTCTGGGAAGGGCAGATGAAAGAAATTTAATGTGAAATGTATATGTTTAGAGTAGAATTTGTCTACTTGAATCTAATTTTTAAATCTGTTAAACATAGGTTTTTATCCTCAGAAAAAAACTAGATATAACACTCCAAAGAGAGCATTTTGAGAATGTTTCTTTTAAAAGCAAAGTCTGCTTAGCCCTGTGACATAGCTTGGTGTTCACAAAACTGCTGTGTAGATTTTGGTGAATGTGAGATTTCTTTAACCCTTCTCTTTCTGGTATCAGTAGTTAACAGTGATGTGCTTATCTGTAATGTACCACAGCCACTGGTGTCAAGGCTAAAGGCAAGGTGGTGATGCAGATATGGCTAAACCCATGCGTGGGCGAGGGAGTTGAACGTGGAATGTGAGTTATGATGGTTCCACACGACCCAAAGGAGAAGTTGCTTTAATAGGGCTTACCCGTGTAGCCAAGGGGACAGATGCAGACATAGTGCCCGATCTGGTTGAGGCACGTGGCCCCGTTCAGGCAGGGCTCTGAGGCGCACTCGTTCACCTCCAGGTCGCAGTGCTTGCCCTGGTAGCCTGGGACGCAGTAGCAGGAGTACTCGTCCACGCCGTCGCGGCACAGGGCCCCGTTGCGGCACGGCTCGGAGATGCACTCGTCCACGTCCCTCTCGCAGAGCGCGCCGGTGTAGCCGGCGCTGCAGAGGCAGGTGGGCCCCGCCAGGCCGCTTTGGCAGGTGCCTCCATGCTCGCACGGGTTGGTGTCACAGTCGCTGTCAGCAGTTTCGCAGCTAGGGCCGTTGTACCCAGCGGGGCACTTGCAGGTAAAGCTGAGGTTCCCGGCAGAGCCCAGGCAGGTAGCGTTTTGGAGACAAGGGTTGGAGGAGCAAGGGTTGGAGGTTTTGTTGCAGAGCTCCTCCACACTGTCCACTGATGCATCTGCACAAAGGCAAGGGTCATCTTTATGACCAGCAACACATGTAGAGTTCTTTTGGCAAGAGTTTGACAGGCACCTGGAATCATTCCTCGTGCAAAGTGATTCTAGGAAAGAAACACAAAAAATCTTGAGGAATTCCACAGCACTGGGAGTAACCAACAGTGAAAGAAGTGTAGTTCTGAACACAACTGTGCTTCAAAACCCACAGCTCCAGTTGCTGGCTTTTGAGAAGAAAACAGGACTGGTAACTCTGTGATGCATTAGTGGACTAATGAGTATAAAATGAAAACAATTATGAAAACTTGAGTAGGTTGTAATTTCCTGTTCTTGCCTCTTTCAACAGCCATGGTCTGGAGTGTCAGGATTATTTTAACACTATATTAAAAGTATAGTTGAGACAATAGTGGTTGTTGTCAATGGATATCCAACAATATGGAACGTATTTAGATATAGTTAATGTTTTTGTTTCTGTTTTTCTTACTAGAGAAAGGAGATGCACCACTTTTTTTAGTTCAATATCACTTTTGTGCTGCTACCATTCTTTTGTGCATTGGGTTTCACAAGCTAAATTACTCGGATGCAGTTATAGCTCAAACAAACAGTTCAAATCGTCAGGCACCTAGATTTTGATTTGCCGATTATAAATAGTAATTTCACAGGTGTACAGCATCTGCACCACGAAGAATCTACCAAACACCTGAGATGCAAAACAGCCCTGTGAGAGCCATCCAGCCTCAGAGGCTGGATGGACACGGTGAATATGGTGTAAAGATGTTCCTTACTTCCTCACCGTCTGGGAACTGAGCTTCCATCAGTAATTAAAGGCCACTTGGAGTTGCCTTGAAGCTGTAAGGAATAACAATTGCAAGAATTGCTTCTCACTTCACAGTCAAGGAAGGTGAGCTGTTACCAGCACTGTTCAGAATCCACCTCTGGGATACACTGAAGCAGCTACATCTGGGCCAAGACTGTGAAATTAAGCTGAATTTTCCTTTAGGAGAGAAAGCAATTTATAAGAGAAAGGCTCATGAGCTGGAACACAGAAGTTGCATTAAATTATCTATATGTAAGTAATGTAAACATCTTTTTTTATTATTTGTTTTACACTTTCAATCTGGGGTGTTGTTTGTATATGTGAAGAGTATGTGTCTTCTACAGCAGCAGAACTGTGTGTGTTTGTGCAAACGGTGTTGTGGATGAGCTGAACTTCTCAGAGGAATTCAGACCCATCTACCCATAGTCTCTAATTTATTATCAGTTCTTGAATTAAGATTAGGGAGTAGAGATGGAGATGGGGCACTGAAAGAGAAGAGGTAAGCAGAGATGGAGACTCCAATAACTCGAGTTACACCAATGCTGATAAACAGCACTGGGACAGATACCTGGAAAAGGAAGGGGCTAGGGCTTGTCACCCAAGGATACCAACCAACCAGCCAACCAACCAACCAGGGAGGGGTGTCAGAGAATACAAACTGACTGGTCATGGTGTGTTTCCATAGTGTGCATTTTAATATATAATACAATCACTAATTATATATATATATATATAAATACAATAATTATAAACATTTTAATATAATGTTTTTCTCCTAGGAGGGGGAAGTGGGGGAAGAAAGTATCAGAAGGCTTAACTAGCATGACTGTTGTGCTTTCTGAATTGAGGTGTACACGGAGAAGCAGTGCCTCTGAGAATTAGAAGCACCAGTCTGAATGAACTTGATGTTCATGAATAGGTGCATTTACTGAGCCAGATAACTAATTAATACTTGTTTGAACAAGGGGAATAGATTTATGTAGTAACATTGATAGCAACAGTGACACCATGATTTAAAACCAACAGTGGTCTTAAGGATTACATAGAAAGCAAGCTAAACATTGATTAGCAAGAGGAGAACTGGAGTGTTACTTCATGTTCTCTGAAGGAAAACAGGACAAAAATAGTACTTTTGGATTAGTCTGCCTTTAAAAAGACCCTCCCCAAACCTGTTAATAATCAGTTTTGGGAGCAGGTGTTCCATCCTGATGTGGTGTTGGTTGCACTTGCTCCAGCTCAGAGCTCTCACTGAAAGCAAAAATCCAAGACATTGGTCACATGTACTGACCTGCACCACTGTCAGCGGTAATTCAGACCCTTCTCTTCCTCAGCACACTCTCATGTATGTTCTGATGTCCTGGTTTACATAATTTTGTGCTTTGCCCATGCATTTACTTTTTTTCTTTAGCCTGGATAATACAGAGCTTACTGCGATCTATTAATTACAGTTAAAATGAGCAAAACTGTGTTCCTTAGGAACTTCTGCATCCTGCATTTTCCTTGCACAACTTTGGAGAGCTTTCCTTTCAGTCTGTGTACCTATTTAAAATTCATTAAAGTGCGTGTTTGGGGAAACATTGAAAATTTGAAGAAATTAATTATGATCAAGTTATAATGTTGTCTAACTGTTGTACTGTGTAAGCTACAAGAGGTGAGGTCAGTCATTTGAGTGATTTCTTACACAGGACCACGGTGACATGAGAAGCAATTTAGTTAATTATTACTGCTTTTCCAGAGATAATTTGCATGCAACAGGCTGAGTTTGTTATAATGACTGTGTGAGGACATGACGTGTTTGCCAGTCTGCAGTTTTGATAGCAAGAGTGAGCTCTGGTTAAAAAGCTTCATAGCTCTCCGAGGCAGTAAGAGTGGAGTGGAAAGGGCAAAGACAGCCCTAAAAGCACTGTCTCTATGTAGTGAGGGCCACCAATTTGTCTGCAGGGTGACATCATTATGGGAAAAACACGAAACGGAAAACCTTTCCTAGATTTTTTAAAGCAGTGTTTTAATTTAAACTTTTGTAGCTTTTATAAAATGAATTTCTTATGCAGAAATTGCCAACAGACAATTCAATAAATCCAGTACTCTCTAGAGGATACTCTTGTCTGATTTTTATGACAAGTTTATAGTGGAAGAGCAACATTTTTAGTGTTCTGTCTTTATTCTAATGCACTGTGCCATGGTTTTTATTATCTGTGTAGTTTTTGAGGAACACAGGAATTCTGAAGGTCTTAGCAGAGATGTAACCATGCTGAGTTTCAGCTTGGTTGTGGTTTAAAGGCTGAGACCAAGAGTTTAAGGGTACTCTACAGCAGTTTGTCTCAGCAGCAAAACTGCATCTCAAAAAGGTGATCATCAGAGGGATGCACTTAGCACACCATGGTTATCAAATGGTGTGCAGTTCACCTGGACATTTCTATGTCTTTTTTTTTTTTTTTTAATCATGTTCCTGCATGATGTGAGTGCTTCAGCTAATCCTTGGAAGCCTTGAAGCCCTATTAAACACCATTTTCCACCTGTTTCAGGTAAGTTATTTGCACTATCTCCCTTGCTTCCCTGTGGAAACTGAGTTTCCCTGCTGCTCTGGAGTGATGTGGAAGGATGATTTGAGAACCTCCTGAGCTGAGAGTTGCATGGAAGGAGGATGAAGAGTATGGCACGTGGAAGCTCCTGCATGCCCTGTGATGCAGTGTGATGATTGATGCAAAGACTGTCTCAGTTTGAGCAGATACCTGAAGAATATTCTCTTCTGCACTCACAGAAAGAGCTGCAAAGGAACAGAAAGATTTCAGTGGAGCTTGGTTTTTGGCCAGGTTGCAGAAGGATAACCAGGGTGCTGTACCTCAGATGTGCAGAGGAGCTGTTTTTCATTCCTAAGCAATTAAGGTCACTTCAGCAGTGACTTGTTCTGACAGAGTCTTAAAACTCGTATGTAACTTTAGGAAAAATGGAAACAAAATGCTGATTGCTTTGGATTTACATTGACTGACACTTGAGGTAATTATCAGTCTCTTTATAAACAGTGGTACTTTAATCTAATTACAAGAGGATTTAGTGCCAAGCGTTTTGCCCCATGGTTAAATCCTTGAGATGCAGATGAGATGGTTGGCAGTGAAATTCTTTGCAGTAAAGCTTGCCATCTACTGGCACATTATCCACACTACCAGAAACATGGCCATACCTGCAGCTATTTCAGGAACTGGCACAACTGACTTAATATAAGAAATAACAAGAAAAAGGCAGTTTTAGCTTTGGTTTTTTGCTCTTGGATAAGATTATTTAAATTCATTGAAGTGATCTTGTTAGTGTATGAATAATTGAGCTTATACAGCTAATAAGCAGTAAAAATGCATGATTTTGGCTGGTAAAGGCTTATGAATGGTCAGAAATTACTGTAGTGATACAAAACAATTTTTATGATGTTAGAAATGCATGTCAATGACATTAGAGGGCCAAAATTGAATTAGGGAAAAGTTGTTATAAACCGGGCAGGGATTTTGAAATGGCCAAAGCATTTTGGCACAGATAATCTGGTTGTTAAACTATTGTTCCTCAGTAAAGCAGGTAATTTTGAAAAGCTCATTTGCATATCTTTCCTGACAATTTTGAGGGTTTTTTTCCTAGATCCTGTTGGAATCAGAGATTTACTGGGTTTATGTCCATTTTTCAAAATATTCTTCTATGTTGATAAGATCAAAACAAAGTGAATTGATGATCAGAGATTCTGACAATTAGCAATCTCAGCCACTCAAAGCCTTCAGAGTAATCCTTTTCAATCTGGTTTGGGTTCTTTGTGTCAGAAATGTCTTTCAGCAAAGACCTGTTCTTTCACGACATAACTCTTCCTACGAGTTGGTGAAATATCATAATCAGTGGCTGCATTTAAAATGAAATTTCAATCACTGCTAATCATGCTGTTATGAACCAGGGTTCACTTGGCTGTGGCCATGCCTGCACTTTGTTAATCATCTCATTGTGCCTGAAGGCTGCTTGTAATTTGCAGTGCTGTTCTTCAGATATGCCTTCTGCCCCTGAAGGAGGACTCTGAGCTTCACAGAAGCTCTCAACACTAACAACTTTGGAATCTTTTACATATGCTGCAAGATTTTCTGACCTTCTTAACACAGTCTATTTTCTAGGGGGAAAAAAAATCTATTATAAGACAGAGAACTTCTTGAAACCCATATATTCACCATCACTGATGATTTTACTGCACTTTGAGCACTTTTTTCCTTTCCTTTTTTTTTAAACAAAATGATTACTTTACACATTTGAATTAAAACTAGGAAG